CCCCCCCCCCCCCCCCCCTCCCCCCCATATAGTGCTACCTGGGACCTTTACTTCTCCCTCCAGAGATAAAGACACTAAGGCTAAAGCCATCATTAGTGATCGAGTTAAAAAAAAAAAAAACTCAATATTGGTAATGAGACCTATACCGACATCTAGTGGCATCTAGTAGAATTCGCCCTATGACGTACTCACGCAGACCAAACTTGATCTTCTCCAGTTGGAATGCAGTTGTCTCACAGCAGAGACACCCCAGTAGTATGCAAGCTGTTGAATAACAGCTGTACTTCAAAACGCAATATTCGCCTTTATTACTGCTGGATGATCACAGCAGGAAAACACTTGGAACACAACTGAGCTTCCTCAGCTGACTTGTCTCGGCCCCTTCCCAGCTGAATCCTTGCTGGAAATAACCAGTTTTATGGCAGCTGATGAGATGCTGCTGTGTCCCAGCTGTGGGACAGTAGAATTACATACATTTCGCCATTTTCTCGCCTGGACGCTCTAATCCCAGCAGTGACACAGCTGGGTTGTGTTCATTAGGATGAGATCATTAATATTTTTGGGTAGGAAAGAGCTGGGAACATGAAAATTGGCAGTAACGTACTTTGTTGTCTGGAAATACATTATTAGGTTTATTGTAATAGGTGTTGAAGTTGACCATCGCCATTTTGGATACACAACTGTGCACGTCGGAGCATGTTGGAAGGCATTGCCTGTAATATGATGGGTGGGACGTTGGCAATGAGTTGCGAGATGTTGTTTTTCAATTCATCCCAAGTGTGTGGACTTGCTTCCAATTTAGCACCAACCTCCTCCACACGATCCTGTCAGAACAGTCGAACAGCGAACACACTTTGAAACATTTACATTCCCAGTTTCCCTGAACCTTCTCACAAGCTTCCAGATGACTGATTTTGCTGGTGCTTTACGACATTCAAATCGCGTGCAAAAATCATTATGCGTTGTTTTAAAAGGATTTAGTTTTCAAGTAACGTTCCACAAGAAAAACACGTTCCTGCACATTAAACGCCGTGTTTGTGTACTGCAGTGTGGCACTGCGCATGCGTTGTGTTGCCTGCTGCTGGTGATAGGTGGCGGCACTTTCCAGACGACAAAGTACGTTATTACCAATTTTCATGCTCTCAGCTCTTTCCTACACAAAGTTGTTAATGGTTTAACTTGCAATGCTCACCCAGTAAAAATTAGGGTAAAAGGGGAGGGAGGTGGTGGTGGGCGAGGAGCCTGCTCCTTATTGGGAGTGTGGGGGTCGGGGTGATGGGACCCGTGCAGCCCCCCCCATCCCCTCCCAATCCATGCCTCTGATGCGCGGAGGGGAAGGGGGGTTTTGCTTCAGAGATGTAAAGGGTGTCCCAACGAATCGTAACGATTTGATTTTTGGATAACTTTTTTAGTTCTGCGTCGATTCTGATCATTTTGATATATTTTTGTTGAGCGTTTTAAGAGGATATTCTGACATGTATT